ATAATAATAATTTATTATTTATACCCCGCCTGCAGACTGATACCCCATCACCGACAATTCACAACAGTGTGATAAAATGCCAGAATTACGTGGGGTTTTTTTTGGGGGGGGGTGTTCTCTGAACTTTTGGCAACACGTAATTTCCGAGTTGTTTTTTCACCTACTGCTAAAACGCCTTGCATTCTTCTACTAAAGCGAAAGTCCTGATGAATAGTCGGATTTCATCAGGCACCCGCACAGGGGTGCCGAAAACTGAGCTTTCTTCCGTGTCCTTTACCTCCAGTCACCCCCAGCGCCAAGGCATTGTTTACCAGAGATGTTTTCCTTGTTGTTCTAGGAGGAGGAGCCGGGGTAGTAATTATATCCCCTTCTCTGAGAATCATTCAAGGCAGCTTGCTGCAAAAATAGAAGCAGTGTTTTCTTTTGTTTTTTTAAAATCAAAAACAAAAGCAGTAAAAATAGCCAGCCCTCAAAGGGCCGTAGCTCAGTTGGCAGAGTCTATTCCGCATGCAGGAGGTCCCTAATAATAATAATAATAATAATAATAATTATTTTATTTATATCCCGCCCTCCTTGGCTCAGAGCGGCTAACAACAAGTCAAAATAGCACAGCGTATATAAAATCACACAGTCAATTAATTAAATCAATTCAGAATCAATTCAGAATCAAATTAATGGCAACCTTTGGGCTAGAGTTCTATGAGGATTACAGAAGGAGGGGGTCAGACTGCGCCTTGGCCAAAGGCCTGGTGGAACAGCTCTGTCTTGCAGGCCCTGCGGAAAGATGTCAAGTCCCGCAGGGCCCTAGTCTCTTGTGACAGAGCGTTCCACCAGATCGGGGCCACAGCTGAAAAAGCCCTGGCTCTGGTCGAGGCCAGCCTAACCTCCCTGTGGCCGTAAGGTCCTCCGTGGGACATACCAGGAGAGGCGGTACCGTAGGTACGAGGGTCCTAGGCCGTATAGGGCTTTAAAGGTTAAAACCAGCACCTTGAACCTGATCCTGTACTCCACCGGGAGCCAGTGCAGCTGGTATAGCACCGGGTGAATGTGACCCAGTGGCGAGGGATCCCATCTCCGACAGCATGGTCAGGAACCCTTCCTGAAGCCCTGGGGAGCTGTTGCTGCTGCCAGCCCAGACTGTCCTGATCTAGATGAAGCCAGTGGTCTGACTCAGTATAAAGTAGAGGTATTAAGCAGAGATTGGATGGCCATCTGTCACGGATGCTTTAGCTGAGATTCCTGCATTGCAAGGGGTTGGACTAGATGACTCTTGGTGCCCCTTCCAATTCTGCAATTCTATGGCAGCCGATGTCAGGGCGGTTGTCAGGAGAAGGTCTGCATTAAATCGCATGGAGTAAGCCAACTCTTTATTTATCCTGGTCGGCTCAGGAGCACAGCAACTCTTCTCAGAAGGTCTTGCCCCTACGAAGCGGTTGTGGAGGCTAAAGATCCACACCTTCCCACAGCTCCAAGTCTCCTCCTCCACCGAGTCCTTCCCCAGCAATCTGAGACTATGCCAACATGCCTGTATCTTCCCTCTCTCTTCATGCCTCTTTGGGTCCTGGGAGACCATAGGGGAGGGGAGCCTGTCGCAGCAGGAGGGGGAGACTCCCTGGCTTCTTCCCCAGTCTGCCTTCACTCTGCCTCTTGGACCTTCTCCTCTCCAGCCTCCTCTCCTGCCTCTGAGTCTGGACTGCTCTCCGCCACAGCCTCTTCCCGCTCACCAAATCCTGCTACGCTTTCAGCTTCCAGCATCTCCTCCCCCCAGTCTGCTCCTCCTTCTCCCTCTGACCACATCCCACCACCCCTGGCTCTGAGCTTTCTTCCCTTGGGGGTCCCCCCCCCACTCCTCTGCACCCGGCCAGTCACAACACAAAGGCAACTTGAAATCAGCCAAATTTCTGAAATCCCTTTTAAAATGGTAGAATGATTGACATTAAAAGCCGGTCGGAAGAAAAACGTTATCGGTGGTGCTCTATGAACAGCTCTGAAAGTTGTTCCTGGTGTTTAGCTTGAATCTCCTTTCTTGTAACTGGAAGCCGTGGGTTCGAGTCCTGCCCTCGAGAGCACGATGTGGCAGCCATCTTTAAATATCTGAAAGGTTGTCACATGGAGCAAGCTTGGGTTGGACTGGATGACCCCCGGGTCCCTTCCAGCTATGATTCTATGAAAAAGACGGATGGCTGAGGGTGCAAAGATTATTATCTTCTCTCCCTGAAGCTGAGTTAGAGGCGCCAACCAATATATTCCAGAAAGGTCAGGAAGGACGTGCTATTGCAGGTGCCAGCACAGAGGAGGCTCACAGGGGGTGTTGGGTCAAACAAAATAAGATCAAATCTTTATTATCGCGGTCCGTGACAACACAATGTAAAGTGAAACAAAATTTGTTGTTGTTGTTTACTCATGTCCGACTCTTCGTGACCCCCTGGACCAGAGCACGCCAGGCACTCCTGTCTTCCACTGCCTCCCGCAGTTTTGTCAAACTCAGGCTGGTAGCTTCGGGAACACTGTCCCACCATCTCGTCCTCTGTCGTCCCCTTCTCCTTGTGCCCTCCATCTTTCCCAACATCAGGGTCTTTTCCAGGGAGTCTTCTCTTCTCATGAGGTGGCCCAAAGTCTTGGAGCCTCAGCTTCAGGATCTGTCCTTCCAGTGAGCACTCAGGGCTGATTTCCTTCAGAATGGATCACTTTGATCTTCTTGCAGTCCATGGGACTCTCAAGAGTCTCCTCCAGCACCAGAATTCAAAAGCATCCATTCTTCGGCGATCAGCCTTCTTTATGGAAACAAAATTAAAGAAGCATAAAACACGATAGGGGATTCTGGGTGTGGTTTGCCAGCTGCTGAGAGCCAGTGATGGCGGTGTGGTTAGGACCTGGGAGGGACCTGGGTTCAAATCCTCCACTCGAGCACGAGGCTCACTGGGTGTGACCCATAGCAGGGAGTTCCAAAGGTCAGTTCTGATTTTATTTTGTTTATCTCCCCAAAAAAGAGTCATTTCCTGGTGTTTGTTTTGCAGAGGCAGTTCATAAACTCTCGAGTCGGGACGAGGAAGGGGTTATCTATAATTAACTCCCGTCCCTACTTTAAGGCTGCCGCTGTCCCTCGCTTGACCGTCTCCTGTCTCCCTCCCCTTCCTTGCAGGAATCCACCTCATCCTGGCTGGACAAGGTTGTTCCACACCTGGCAGAGATAATTGAGCTGGAAGGCATCGCTGCTATCCAACTGCAAGTGGGCTGCCTCGCAAGAGATTTTCCCGACGTGCAGTGAGTTCCCGCACTCATTTTTTGTGGGGGTGGGGAGGCCAAACCTTCTTTAATTGCAGGGGGTTGTGCCAATTGTAGCAGAACATTTCCCAGATCTGAAAAAAAACCAAACAGGCAGCATCTCGTGAGAATGTAACATGGACAGCAGAACTTAACAAGAACTTGTCTGGGTTTGCAGAGTTTGCAGACATTGACCCAGGGCATGGCGGCTGCAAAAAAAAAGAGAGAAAAAGGGGCGAATTGCATGCTAGGAATCATTAGGAAATGAATTGAGAATATAAGTCCCGAAATCATAAATGCCGTTAATGCAAATCTACAGTGCAATGTGTGCAGTTTTGGTTGCCTCGTCTCCAAAAGGGATACTGTAGTGCTGGGAAAGGTTCCGCAAAGGGCCACCAAAATGATCGAGGGGATGAAGAAAGGTTGCAACCTCTGGGATTTAGAGAAGAGGCGACATGATTTGTTGTTGTTGTTTAGTTGTTTAGTCGTGTCCGACTCTTCATGTCCCCCTGGACCAGAGCACGCCAGGCACTTCTGTCTTCCACTGCCTCCCACAGTATGGTCAAACTCATGCTGGTAGCTTCGAGAACACTGTCCCACCATCTCGTCCTCTGTCGTCCCCTTCTCCTTGTGCCCTCCATCTTTCCCAACATCAGGGTCTTTTCCAGGGAGTCTTCTCTTCTCAGGAGGTGGCCAAAGTCTTGGAGCCTCAGCTTCAGGATCTGTCCTTCCAGTGAGCATATGCCTGTTGTCTTTGTCCATGGAGTTTTCTTGGCAGGGATACTGGAGTGGCTTGCCGGTTCCTCCTCCAGGTGGAAGCTTATAATCAATCAATCAATCAATCAATCAATCAATCTTTATTATGAAGGTGCCCTAAAGACGCTAAAGCAAAGATTATGGATAATACACACAGTGACTTGCGATCTCAATCACATGCAATCTGTAGTCTGTTGGCAGTAGGAGTACAATATGGGCATGTCTTTAAGTTATCTCTTATTATTATTAGACTTCTGAGCCCCTCTGAGCTAAAGGCAGAAAGCCCAGCCAGCAGCCAAACGAAGCCTCAAGCGGTGGTTCCCACAGTGCAGCAACCCGGCAAAGGGGATGCAGCAAGGAAAACCACCATCACAGCTCCGCTGGGAAGCGCTGAGCAAAGGCGAGTCCCCAGGCAACGCGGCCGATTTGATCGGCACAAGGCATGCAAGCTCCACCCCCCAGTCATTCTTAGACTCCTTACTGGGTGAGCAACGCAGACAAGCAACACAGTTGGAGCCTCCCTCCTCCCTGGTAGGGAGGGAGAGGAGCTGCTTCCTTTGAAACCCGGGAAATTTAAGGGACATCATCAATAACGGACAGCAGCGGGACACAGTGCTGGGATAAGGGACTTTCCTGCCAAATAAGGGACGGTTGACAGCTATGGTCCTCACCAGCTGAATGAAGAACTCCTTCAGCTGTTTGGCTTCGCACCGCAGCTTGTTTGCCATCTTGGTCCTCATCTTGGAGGTGGTGCAAACAAACCGCACTCGCATCAGGGGCCGGACGTACTCGATGAGCACCCGGCGGTGCACATCCTTCAGCAACATCTGGTGAGAGACAGGGAAACAGCTGCCTAAATTGCACAGAAACTTATTCATGTATGCAGCTACAGCAGCAAGAACGGTACTCGCCCAAAAGATGGACAGAAGTCCCAGCAAAGGAGGAAGAATGGATACAAAAACCTATGGAATACAGTGGTACCTCGGGTTACATACGCTTCAGGTTACAGATTCCGCTAACCCGGAAATAATACCTCGGGTTAAGAACTTTGCTTCAGGATGAGAACAGAAATTGTGCGGCTGCAGCGGGAGGCCCCATTAGCTAAAGTGATGCTTCAGGTTAAGAACAGTTTCAGGTTAAGAACAGACCTCCGGAACGAATTAAGTACTTAACCCGAGGTACCACTGTTTGCAGAAATGGCGAAACTTACCGGAAGGATAAGAAATCATGATAACAAACTTTTTATAAAAGAGTGGAAATGGTTTACGGAACGTTTACAGATAAATTGTAAACAGATAAAAGCACTGGCAGGATAACTGTAATAACCCGCATAAGAGTATCTATTTAAAGAAGATAAATAAATCAGTAAGTTGCGGATTTGGATATGCAGAAGGTATTAAAAATAAATTGAAGGAACCGCAGACAGATGGGAAAGGAAGTCCAGTTTTGAAATGTCATAATGATTGCGAAACCAGTGAAATGTGTATATCTGATAAGTATAAATAATAATACTGGTCTGGAAACAGCAGCAAATACCAACAGTAGAAGAATGGCGACAGAAGGTAATGGAATATGCAGAAATAGCCAAACATTTGGTCAGTTTGGGAGTCAAAATGGTTTCAGGTTGGTCTTCCTGTGCCGGTAAATGTACCAACATGCTTGGTTGGTACATTTATGGACATTTATTACCGTATTTTTCGCTCCATAGGGTGCACCGGACTATAGGGCGCACCGAGTTTTTAGGGAGGGAAATAAATAAATAAAAAATGCGCACCGACCCCTCTCGCTCTCCAGGCTTCAGCGAAAGCAACGCAAAGCCTCCGGAGCACAGAGGGAGCGCTCCCTCTGCGCTCCGGAGGCTTCCCGTTGCTATCGCTGAAGCCAAGGAGCCTGCATTCGCTCCATAGGACGCACACACATTTCCCCTTCATTTTTGGAGGGGAAAAACTGCGTCCTATAGAGCAAAAAATACGGTATATATCTAAGACCTTAAAATTCTTATCACAGCAGCAATGGCTTGGGGGCAGGGCCATTTGCCGTCCTGGCAGGCCGCTCACCTGGTACGGCTCCAGCTTCATCTTCCTCAGCTTGCGGGCGTGTTCTTCCAGGGTGCCCATGATGGTGGAGAAGGCCTCTGAGTTGTTGAGCCACTTCCTTTTCATCAGCTTTTGGAAGTGGGGCTGCATGGGGCAGAGGAGGGGAAAAGGAGGAATGAGAAACGATTGGGAAAGATTGTGGAAAGAAAGATGCCTTGTGATGCCTTGAAAAAGAACATGATGATGATGATGATGATGATGATGATGATGATGATTTATTATTTATACCCCGCCCATCTGGCTGGGTTTCCCCACCCACTTTGGGCGGCTTCCAACGGAATATTAAAATACAATAACCTATTAAACATTAAAAGCTTCCCTAAACAGGGCTGCCTTCAGATGTCTTCTAAAAGTCTGGTAGTTATTTTTCTCTTTGACATCTGACAGGAGGGCGTTCCACATGGTGGGTGCCACCACCGAGAAGGCCCTCTGCCTGGTTCCCTGTGACTTGGCTTCTCGCAGTGAAAATGATGTATAGATGGTATATTACACCTGTGAAATTAGCTAGAACGTATAAGACAAATAACAAATGTTGGAAATGTAAAGGAAAAGAAGGAACAATATGTGGTGGGAATGTAAGAAAGTCAAAAACTTCTGGGAAATGATATATAATGAGATGAAAAAGATGTTGAAATATACATTTTTTTAAAAACCAGAAGCATTTTTACTTGGTATTATAGGTGAGGATATTAATAGGCAAGATGTTAAATTGTTTTTATACGCAAGAGTATTGTTAGCCCAGAAATGGAAGCAAGAAGAAATTCCGACGAAAGAAGAATGGCAGACGAAATTAATGGGCTACGCAGAATTGGATAAAATGACAGGAAGGATTCGAAACCTGCAGGACCAGAGATTTACAGAAGATTGGAAGAAATATACGAACTATTCAAAGAGCAACTGTAATCAACAAATTACGTGGGTAGGACTACAAAGAAGTTTGTAAGGGGAAATATATGAAATATTGCAAAGTAGAGAAAGAACAGAAATATTAGTTATGAGTTTAAATGCAATAGTGAAAGCAAGGAATGTAAATTAAGTGAATAGACTGGGAAATTTTCAGATGTGATTGATGGAAGTCAAAAAAAAGTTGTATAAGATATAAAAGTATGTTTAATTATTGTTGAAAAGGATATGTTAAAAAACTAATAAAAAATTATAAATAAATAAAGCCGTCTTCGGTGGGGGAAATCACAGCTTCCTGCAGCAGTGAGTTCCACAGTTTAACCATGCGTTAGTTTCTCCCCGATATTCCTCACCCACTCTGAGATCATGTTGGACGAGGCCATTGATTTCTCCCTCCCGCAGTCTTCTCCCACTAACATCCCTCTGGGGAGGTCTCCCCCAAAATCAGTACCTTGAGGTTTTGAAAGAGGTGGTCGGCCAAGACCCTGTTGCACAGTCGAGTCACTCTGTCAAGGGAGGCGTTGGCCTGGCACCTCACTGCCTCGCTCTCGGGGTGGCCGAACCTCGCCAAGCGCTCCACGTAATCCCTGTGGGAGAGATTCTGGTCAGGGGGGGCAGCACACAGGGCCTACATTCTCGCCATGGGGTGGAGGCATGGGCAGAGAATCGTGTGGAAAATCCAGAGAGAGGTTTTGCTTGACCGAGCTTCGGTTCAGCAGGTAGGGTTGGATTGCCACAAAAGGAGCAAAGCTCTCAGATCCGAGAAAATAATAATAATTTTTTATTTATACTCCGCCCTTCCCGGTTCAAAAACCGGGCTCAGGGCGGCTAACAACAAATTTCTTAATCGATGCAACAAAAAACAGCATAAAATACACTTAATCGATGCAACAAAAAAACAGCATAAAATACAGTATAAAACGTGAATAACAATAAATTCAGAATTCAAAAATCATTTTAGGGGGGAAATCCATCAAATAAACAGTAGATGATCACCAGGGCTAGCTGGCTAAATTAGTCCTAATTGGGCCAGCAAGGAGACCAGGGGAGAATTAGCTGTGAGATCCCAGAGCGGGGAAGCTTCATAAAAAGGAGAGGGGGAGGGAAGGAAGGGGAATAAAAGATCAGGCTAAGTTCAAATTGAAGGCCAGGTGGAATAGCTCTGTCTTACAGGCCCGGCAGAAGGAAGTTAAATCCTGCAGGGCCCTGGTCTCAAGGAACAGAGCATTCCACCAGGTTGGAGCCACCACTGAGAAGGCCCTGGCCTTGGTGGAGGATAGTCTGACTTCCTTAGGGCCCGGGACCTCTGAACTATTATTATTCATGGACCTTAAGGTCCTCTGCGGAGCAGACCAGGAGAGGCGGTCCCATAAAAACGAATGAGTACCCAATACAACCCAAATAGGGGTGAAGTGAAAGTGGGGGTGAGCTTTTCAATGTCGTTGTGCAAGTGGAGAGGGTCCAAGTTCAGGCTGATACACAACAGGTTAGGACATGGTTGTGGGGGGACAGGAGAATTTGCAACGATTGTGGGGGCCAGAGGAGAAGGGGTTGAACTTTCAGCTGCTCTGGTTTTCCCCTGGCACTCGAGGCTTAATCGGGGAATAATAATAATAATAATAATAATAATAATAATAATAATAATAATTTTTATTTATACCCCGCCCTCCCCAGCCAAGGCCGGGCTCAGGGCGGCTAACAAGCAATAATTAAAACAAGTTGAATGAATACAACTTAAAAACAAGATTAAAATACAACATTAAAATATTGAAATATTAAAATGCAGCCTCATCACAGGAGGAGAATGGAAAAAGAATGAGAGTCCGTCTCTTACCTAAAAGGTGGGCAGTGGTTGATGAGCATGATGGTCCGGTCCATTAAGGCGTCGGCAGTGAGGGGGGTCTCTATTTGCCCCTCGTGGAACCTTTCGACCTTCCTCTGAAAACTGGGGGGGGGGGGAGCAAAGAGGGAGAGAAAAGGCAGAGTGGAATTCAGGCGGTGCAAAGAAGTCCTGCTCAAAGGCACCCGCCGTGCCTCACATCATCTTCCCACAACCATCTGTCGTGGCTGGACCTGGGAGATCAGGGTTCAAATCCCGCCAAGGCCATGAAGCTCACTGGCGCTGCTAAAACCAGTAGGTGGCTCTTTCAAGCCCCCAATATAGAATCCTAGAAGAGTTGGAAGAGACCACAAGGGCCATCGAGTCCAACCCCCTGCCAAGCAGGAAACACCATCAGAGCACTCCTAACATATGGTTGTCAAGCCTCTGCTTAAAGACCTCCAAAGAAGGAGACTCCACCACACTCCTTGGCAGCAAATTCCACTGTCGAACAGCTCTTACTGTCAGGAAGTTCTTCCTAATGTTTAGGTGGAATCTTCTTTCTTGTAGTTTGGATCCATTGCTCCGTGTCCGCTTCTCTGGAGCAGCAGAAAACAACCTTTCTCCCTCCTCTATATGGCATCCTTTGATATATTTGAACATGGCTATCATATCACCCCTTAACCTCCTCTTCTCCAGGCTAAACATGCCCAGCTCCCTTAGCCGTTCCTCATAAGGCATCGTTTCCAGGCCTTTGACCATTTGGGTTGCCCTCCTCTGGACACGTTCCAGTTTGTCAGTGTCCTTCTTGAACTGTGGTGCCCAGAACTGGACACAGTACTCCAGGTGAGATCTGACCAGAGCAGAATACACAGTCATCCCACTGTTAACCGGGGTAGCAGCCCCGCGGTGAACCTCTGGTCTTCCTTGGGTTTTCGCGTCCCCAGAGGACACGAACATCCCATTCAGACAAACAACGACACACACCCAGCTTTCTGAAACAGGCACACCAGGAAGCAGACCTGCTAAGAATAGCTTTGGATTTCCATCCCTGGGGGCGGGGGGGGGGGCTTTGTCCTCTGGCTCCATCTTGCTGGTATTTCCTTACGGAGCGGCTATTTATACCCTGGGATGACCCTGGTCCTTGGCCAGTTTGAAATGGAAACGGCATGCCATTCTGCTGCCACCGTCCGGGGGGTGTTCCTAAACCCGCTACCCCAGCCCCAGCTGCCTCCTGCGGGCCACCCACACGGAAAGCGGTTGCGGCGAGAGCAGTTCAGGGCAGGCTGTGGTTTCCTTGGGACGATTCCCCCTCCCCAGGCCGGCGGGAAAACAAGGGGTTTTTTTTTTGCAACCCTCGCCTGCACAGCTTATTCCTCGGTCCTGTGCCACAACATGCTTTGCCGCCACCACTGCTGCCTTCTGCAGCACACCCGCTGCCTTGCAAGTGGCGCAGACTGCAAGACTCAGGCTGGTCTACCTCGAGGGATTGTTGCAATGGGGAAAAAGTGAGGGAAGCACCGGGTTATGTTCCCTTGGCGGAAGGGCAGGATAGAAGGGCTATTACTTGGGGTTCAGCCGTCTCCCCCTGGATCTCTAGAAGCATGCAGTATACTGTATTTGACGATATACCGAATTGCATCTGAATATTGTGTTTAATACTGCATTGCAGTATTGTAATGTTGTTTACAGTGGTACCTCATGTTAAGAACTTAGGTCGTTCCGGAGGTCCATTCTTAACCTGAAACTGTTCTTAACCTGAGCTACCACTTTAGCTAATGGGGTCTCCCGCTGCCGCCTCATGATTTCTGTTCTCATCCTGAAGCAAAGTTCTTAACCCGAGGTACCATTTCTGGGTTAGTGGAGTCTGTAACCTGAAGCATCTGTAACCTGAAGCGTCTGTAACCCGAGGTACCACTGTATTTATTTCCTATCCAAGGAGCTCCATGCATGGTTCTCCCCACTCCCCATTTATTCCCACATCAGCCCTGGGAAGTAGGTTTGGCTCAGAGGCAGTGACTACCGCCCCCTGAGCTTCATGGCTGAGTGGTGATTCGAACCCGGGTCTCACAGGTCCCAGTCCGACACTTTTAACTGTTACCCCAAATTGTTTCTCTGTCCGTCTTGTCCTCTCCAGGGCCCCATGTGACCCGAGACCCTTTTGACTGAGACGGGAGGGCTGGATCCTGCACGCTAAGCCTCTGCTCTGTTGTCAGCTGCAGCAAAGCCCCATATTGTGTTTTGACGTTGCATCCTGCTCTGGAACCTTAGGGTGAGGGGCAGGGAATTAATGACAACAAGAACTAAGACCCTTTGGAATGAAGGGACCTGAGTCAGGTTCATTCATTTCAAAGAGCCTAGGGCTTGCCGATCAGAAGGTTGGCAGTTCGAATTAAAATATATATATTATATTATAATATATATATATAATTTAAAATTCCACCAGGCCTTTGGTCAAGGCACAGTCTGACCCCCTCCTTTGGTAATCCTCACAGAACTCTAGCCCAATGCTTGCCATTAATTTAGTTTGATTTTGAATTGATTTTAAAATGAATTGATTTTAGAATGCTGTGTTACTTTTATTGTTGTTAGCTGCTCTGAGCCTGGTTTCGGCTGGGGAGGGCAGGATATAAATAAATTATTATTATTATTATTATTATTATTATTATTATTATTAAGCAAGGCTTCTATCAATGCTCTAGACCACGCGCTGCTTCCCCACCGAAACCGCAGCGAAAAGAAGAGCTTGGTTTTCTTTTCCCGGTGTCGCCCTCGACCGTCCTTCAGAAGGGAACTACCTCTGCAGGAAGTCTGCCAAGCAGCTCAGGCAGCAATGTGCCATCCTCCTTCCAAAATCTTCTGTGATCTGGGGCGCTTTGTCTACGTGAGCCTTTAGCACCTATAGAGAGGGAGAAAAGGCCTGTGAGAAAATCAAGAGACGGGTGCCTTTGGAGAGCCACGCTGCCATAGCTGTCAACATTCCCTTTTTTGCGGGAAATTCCCTTACTCCAGCGCTGTTTCCTGCTGCTATCCCGGATTGCTAGATATCCCGTATATATTGTATATATCGCAAAGGGTACCTGCCGGAACATCAGGTCCTCAGAACGCTCGATCTGAGGTTTTTTTGGGGGTTTGCGATGCTCTCGCGGTCACCCCAAACTTCAAACCACTGGGGCTCTTTCATCTGAAAGAGCTCCCGTCCGCCATTAATTGTGCGGCCAACCGGAAGTCTATCCCGGATTGTTAAGATATCCTGTAGACTGTCCCCGGGACAGGTGAGTTGACAGCTATGCACCCTGCCAAGTCCCAAAGGACTCCCAGCCAGCCACCCTTCAGTCCCAGGAGAGGGAACATCTCAGGGAAAGATGAAGCAGGGAAGGAACAGGCAAGAGTAGGTGGGGATGAAGTCTTTCTTAAGAGGAACTACTGGAGTCCCGTGCCCAGTTCCCGGTTTAAGAAGGGTACGAACAAGCTGGAAGGTGTGCAGAAGAGGGCAAGCAACATGATCAAAGGTCTGGAAGCCGAGCCTTAGGAGCTGGGTACGTTCAGCATGGAGAAGAGTAGATGGACAGCTGCCTTCAAACATCTGAAGGGCCATCTGAAACATCTGAAGGGCCATGCAAGCTCGTATTCTGCTACTCCAGTGGGCAGGACCTGAACCAGTGGATTCAAATGGAGGTGCCAACTAAATGTCATGAAGAACTTTCTGGTGGTAAAAGCCTTTTGACAGTGGAACAGATCACTTCAGAAGGTTTGGAGGTTTTTAAGCAGAGGTTGGGTGGTCACCCGCCAGGGACTCTTCAGCTGTGATTCCTGCATTGCAGTGGGTGTGGGAACGTTCAGGGATGCAGGAGAGGCTATATTGTTTTATTATACAATTTAGCAGAGTAACATTCTCCCTTTTAAAGTTTGCACAGCGGATGTGTTTGCTCAGGCTCGCTAAAGCCTCTAAATAAATTTTAAAGGTAATCCCCCATTTAGAAGAGTTCGAATTTGATATCCCGCTTTATCACTACCCTAAGGAGTTTGGGACACGGGTAGCGCTGTGGATAAAACCTCAGCGCCTAGGACTTGCCGATCGCATGGTCGGCGGTTCGAATCCCCGTGGCGGGGTGCGCTCCCGTTGCTCGGTCCCAGCGCCTGCCAACCTAGCAGTTCGAAAGCACCCCCGGGTGCAAGTAGATAAATAGGGACCGCTTACTAGCGGGAAGGTAAACGGCGTTTCCGTGTGCGGCTCTGGCTCGCCAGAGCAGCTTTGTCACGCTGGCCACGTGACCCGGAAGTGTCTCCGGACAGCGCTGGCTCCCGGCCTCTAGAGTGAGATGAGCGCACAACCCTAGAGTCTGTCAAGACTGGCCTGTACGGGCAGGGGTACCTTTACCTTTACCTTTAAGGATTCTCAAAGCAGCTAACATTCTCCTTTCCCTTCCTCCCCCACAACATACACTCTGTGAGGTGAGTGGGGCTGAGAGACTTCAAAGAAGTGTGACTGGCCCAAGGTCACCCAGCAGCTGCATGTGGAGGAGCGGGGAAGCGAACCCAGTTCACCAGATTACGAGTCCACCGCTCTTAACCACTACACCACGCTGGCTCCCTAGTCCCTCATAAAAAGATAAGACACAATACAGTCTTCTATAAAAGTATAAAAAGAGTTTACTCACTCACATTCTGTTCACAGTTGGATCCCAGAAGGCAGACCTAGCTTAGAAAAGTAATGTACACCGGGAAACTATCTCATAAGGAGACAGTCCCTTTGTCCTCTCTTGGCTGGAAGAGAGCATCTTAGGCTAAGCAAAAGTTGCTTCTTCAACGAAAGTAGTCAGAGAGAGAGAGATGGCTGACCAGTCCTATGCTTTTGTTACCTGCACAGGTGAGGCCACGCCCACCTCTAGTCACATGCAGAGGAAGTCTGTCCCAGACAGGAGAAACAGGAAGTTCCGACTGGCTGGTCCAGACAGCCCCTTTTATGTCCACTCTAGGGATGTTGTACTTGACTGCTCTTGTGTTTCACATCCCATAATGGGCTGCACTAAGTGATCCCTGAGGTCCCTTACAACTCTTTGATCCTATGATTCTAGGTGGTCCAGCCCTTCTCTCCTGGTGACATTGAGAATGCACACTGGCAAAAACACCTGCATGTACGCAAACCCAGGAACTCAGTATCAAAAGGGAACGGGGCGGCTAGCTCCAAGCACCGGACGGTTCGTTGTTCCAGAGGGTGAGACTGGAAGGGCGAGGAATTGGCTAGCTGGCACCACACTTGGCAACGCCAGTGAATCTCCAAAATGGGTTTGTTTGCCTCCGATTCTCCCATGTCAGAAGTCACAGGAATGAGTGAGAATCCAGTCTGGGTTTCTAAGGGAAATTCCATGGGAAGCGACATGGCTCAGGGTCAGAACACCTGGTCAACCCCTGGGATTTCCGGGCAGGGCTGGGATAGATCCAGAATCCTGCCTATTGACCGTAATAAACACATTGCCGCCTTGCCAAACTGTGGCCAGTAAGTGTAAATGGCTGAAGCTCCATGCAGACGTGAAGGAAGAGCGAAAGGGAGAGCGAAGCATGCAGGCAGAAGTCCAACAGGCGAAGCCGCTTGCTCCTTTGGGTGGCCAAGTCTCCCACCTACCAGTATGACTTTGCCAGACAGGCCGAACTGGAAGCCGTCGCCTGCATCTTCTTGCGCCCACCTCTCCTCCTCCTTCTGAAGCTCTTGGCTCATGTCCTCGGTGATCTTCGCCTACGAACAAGCAAGAAAAGGTGCATACCAGGGAGGGAATGGGCAAAATCGGCGGCTTGTCTACATGCCTGCCACCCTAAGAACCTAAAAAGAGCCCTGCAGGATGAGGCCTGTGGTCCTTCTGATCCAGCACCCTGTTCTCACAGTGGCCAACTAGATGCCATTATGGGAAATCTGCAAGCAAGGCCCGTCTCCCCTCCTCTGGCTCCCAGACCCTGACATTCAAAAGCATTGCTGTCTCCAACTAGCCCTCTCTGCCATGAATTTGCCCGGTCCCTCTTTTAAACCCATTTAGCTTGGTGGCCGTCCCTGACTCCTGCGGGAGGGACTTCTTACGTCCTCATTAGCTGCTGTGATGGCCTGGGACTCAGACTCAGAACCAGAGGAGGCTCAGTCTGCACCAGATCCTTTGCCTCAGGCATCACCTGAACCAAGTCTGGGGCCTGATCCTGAAGAGTCCCAGTCTGCACAGGTTCCCCGGCAGCAAACACCAGCTGGGCCGAGTCCGGGGCCTGAGCCTGCCCTGGCTCCAGATGTGAGGATTCCCTCGTTGCCTCCAGCTGGGCCAGCACTTACAGCTGCTCCACTACCGGTTCGGTCAGGGGAGGCTGAGGCGGCCCCTGGGTCTAGTAACCCACCAACGTCTCCCGAGCTGCAGAGACTCAGGTCTGAGAGAAGGAGAGACCTGAGTACTCGCAGGAGGAGTGCTTGCCTTCGGGCGAGACAGGGAGGTGAGTTGCCGGGGGATCAGGACCAACCGCTACCCCGACAGAGATAAAAGGCTGTCGGACCCTGCCACAGGTTGCAGGAGCAATATTGCTGTATGCTAGATCCTGCACCTGTCCTTGCCTGGTTTCCTGCCTTGGCCCTGTCGGACTGACTCCTAGCGGAACCTTCAGATTCTGGACCAGTCCTGGACCACGTTTCCTGGGTTACCCCCGGGCCCAGTGCAGCCACAGCGGAAAGCTGCTTCCCATCACCCTTTTGCGATTCACCGCTTACCTTCACAGCAGCGATGAGGTCCTCTTCCAGGCTCAGTTGGGTCTCGGGGGACAGCAGGGGGCCCAGCTCCTGGGTCTTGACCAGGGAGGAGATTTCTGCTCGGCCGAGAACTTCTCTGTGCGGCGGAGAGAAAGAGAGCGGGAGTGAGAAGCTGGATCTCCTCCAGAGGGATGCAAAGTGCATCACACACACCGACCAAAAAAATGCCCTCACACGGACGCTTTATGGGGTAGCGGGAGAGGGCTTTGTTGGCGGTGGCTGCTGCCCAACAATTTTGGAACTCCCTTCTTAGAGAAGCCAGACTGGACCCCTCCTTGCCGTCCTCCCACTGGCAGGTGAAGATATATTGATACAGTGGTACCTCGGGTTACATACGCTTCAAGTTACATACATTTCAGGTTACAGATTCCACTAACCCAGAAATAGTGCTTCAGGTTAAGAACTTTGCTTCAGGATGAGAACAGAAATCGTGGTCTGGTGGTGCAGTGGTAGCAGGAGGCCCCATTAGCTAAAGGGGTGCTTCAGGTTAAGAACAGTTTCAGGTTAAGAACAGACCTCCGGAACGAATTAAGTACTTAGCCTGAGGTACCACTGTATATCGATATATCGTCCAGTTTGAAGTCCATATTGTGATGATGATGATGATGATGATTTATTATTTATTCCGCAGCCACTCTGGGCGGCTCCCAACAAAATATTAAAATACAGTAATGCATCAAACATTAAAAGCTTCCCTAAACAGGGCTGCCTTCAGGTCCTCTAAAAGTCTGGTTGTTGTTTATCTCTTTGACATCTGATGGGAGGGCGTTCCACAGGGCGGGCGCCACCACCGAGAAGGCCCTCTGCCTGGTTCCCTGTAGCTTTGCTTCTCGCAGTGAGGGAACCGCCAGAAGGCCCTCGGAGCTGGACCTTAGTGTGGAGATGCTCCTTCGGGTATCCTGGGCCTTTGAGGCCGTTTAGGGCTTTAAAGGTCAGCACCAACAATTTGAATTGTGCTCGGAAACATACTAGGAGCCAATGTAGGTCTTTCAAGACTGGTGTTATGTGGTCTCGACAGCCGCTCCCAGTCATTAGTGTAACTGCCGCATTCTGATAATGGTTTCATAATTTTTGTTCTGGCGATATATTGCAAATCATGGTGTGTGGGTATGTGGGTGTGTGTGCACTATGCAACAATCGCAATGTGGGGAAAACCATGAAGCCAGCCAATGCTTCTACATAGCTCCATCCTTATTTCAGACTTCACAACATATCGATATATCACAATGTTTAGCTGGTGATATATGACGATGCTGAAAACCAGATATCACCCAGCCCTACTGAAGACCACTTTGTTCTGATCGGCCTTAGGGATCTGATTACATAGCATTCTGCTGCTTTTACTATCTGTATTCAAATACATCTATTTTCAAATATTGTTTCAACTCTATTAGAGTTTAATGACTCTTTAATGATGGTCTTTTGTACAATTTTAGCTTCTTATATTTTATCCGAGCTGTTTTAATTTGTGTAAGCTGCCTTGATCCCCGATCTGGAGGGAAGCTGGGATATTAATAATAATTAATAATTTTCGCTCCCAACCTCCCTACCTTCTGTGCGCAAAGGCAAGACTGTGACAGCCTCGCAGCCAGGGCTGGCTAGAGTCAGACGCGTCTGGGGCAAACCTTGTAGTGAGCAGGAGTCACTCTGGACATGCTCAGGGGTTGCTCTGTTATGACTTCATACATCCCTGGTCTGAACTTTACCCTCCAAAATCAGCTGCGGGATTAACTTTGGCTTTGGTGTTCAAAGCCCTTAATCAAGGGCGTTTCATCAAAGGGGCAGGCTGTGTGTTAGGTATTAGTCACATATCTGAACTATCTTGTTTATTGCGAACAAAAATAAGAACAAAATCAGATCAGAACAAACGTCTGGCTTCCCCAAGCCTGGGTGGATGGGGTCGTTTTGGCTCTGTGAGGATCAGTGCTTGGTAAAGCATGCCTATAAATGGAAAGGGGCAAGGGAATAACAGAATCCTAGAGGTGGAGGGGACCCTAAGGATCATCTAGTCCAACCCCCTCCAGTGCAGGAACATGTACATTCCCAAGCACAATTCAAAGTGTTGGCGCTGACCTTTAAAGCCCTACATGGCTTCAAAGGCCCAGAGAGGCGCACGGAAACGCCGTTTACCTTCCCGCCGGAGCGGTACCTATTTATCTACTTGCACTGGTAGTGCTTTCAAACTGCTAGATTGGCAGGAGCTGGGACTGAACAACGGGAGCTCAGCCCGTCGCGGGGATTCGAACCGCCAACCTTCTGATCAGCAAGTCCTAGGCTCTGTGGTTTAACCCACAGCGCCAACCTGCGTCCCCTCTTTTCCCTGGGACGTCCCTATTTTCATCGGAAAACGTTGGAGGGTCTGGGGTTATGTGATCCCCGAGTCACGGAGATATGTAACTATACAACCTTTAGAAGACATTTGAAGGCAGCCCTGTACAGTGGTACCTCGAGGTTACAGATGCTTCAGGTTACAGACTCCACTAACCCAGAAATAGTACCTCAGGTAAAGAACTTTGCTTCAGGATGAGAACAGAAATCGTGAGGCTGCAGCGGGAGGCCCCATTAGCTAAAGTGGTGCTTCAGGTTAAGAACAGTTTCAGATTAAGAATGGACTTCCAGAACGAATTAAGTTCTTAACCTGAGGTACCACTATATAGGGATGATTTTTATTTTATTAAAAAGTTCAGTGTTTAATTATCTTTTTATATACAGTGGTACCTCGGGTTAAGTGCTTAATTCGTTCCGGAGGTCCATTCTTAACCTGAAACTGTTCTTAACCTGAGGTACTGTTTCTGGGTTAGCGGAGTCTGTAACCTGAAGCGTATGTAACCCGAGGTACCACTGTATGTTGGAAGCCACCCAATCACTGGGGCAACCCAGTCAGATGGGTGGGGTATACATAATACAATTATTATTAATATTATTATAGAATAATAATATCAGAAAAATGTTGGAGGGCATGCAGACCGCCCAGATCCGTCCCTGCCCTTTTTACCTCTGGTAGATGTTGCTGCTCCAATCCAGGACGAAGTAGAGGTCTGAGATGCTCAGCTTCTTCTGGACCGCCTCAGCCAGGCACCTGGCGAGTCCCTGGTGGAAGCTGCACAGGTAGATCCCGAAGGCCTCGTATTCCTTGGGGTAGGCGTGCAAGAGGTGGAACTTGACGGTGCACAGGTCCTCCAGGGCGCACTTGGCCAGGCGGTCCATCTGCGTGGCCACCGGGAGGACCCTGCCCTCGGTGCACTGGCGCAGCCGCTGTCCGACCAGCTGGCGCACTGCCTCGGCCCACTGCTGCTTCATGGCTCGTGGCCGGGGTCCGCAACCGCCTGCCCGGTCCCCTTGAGCCGCCAGCCACTTGCGGTCGGTGTCCTCCTCCTGCTCGATCACTCGCACCACAAGCTCCAGGGCCGGGCAAGAGTTCTTGCCAGCCAGAGACTCAGCCAGGACGGCCCAGAGCTCCTTCTGCAAGGCCTCATACAGCAGCGCCACATCCTTGGCCTTCCGGCTCCCCGATTTCCGGACCTCGCTGCCCTCCGTGCTCTGCTGCCCATCCTGCTCACACTCAGCCTCCAGTTCGATGATGTGCTCGTCGGCCACCAGGAGATCCCTTTTGTGGATCAGGTTCAGGATTTCCAGAACTGGAGCACAAGGAGGAAAAAGAGATCCAAAGTGAGTCTAGGGGCAATTTCAGCGCACAGCATAGCTGTCAACTTTCCCCTTTTTAAAAGGGAAATTCCCTTGTTCCGAATAGGATTCCTCGCAAGAAAAGGGAAAAGCTGGCAGTTATGGCGTACAGTCGTACCTTGGAAGCCGAACGCCTTGCGAATCGAACGTTTTGGCTCTCGGACGCCGCAAACCCGGAAGTGAGTGTTCCGGTTTGCGAACGTCCTTTGGAAATATTAGCAGGATTTGAAACCCACTTCTAATGTAACAAATACTATGCATAATACGGATTGATTTAAAACATAGAATATGGAATATTATGCAGTTGTAAATGTTGACCCATGGAAGTCTCAAGATTCAGAGTAATCTCTATACCTCGGCACAAAGGGCTGCCAGCAATTTCAGTGGTGAAAATGGAAAAACACACCGCGGAAGCTATTCAACTTCCGAGGAGCGTTCGAAAACGGAAGCAATTACTTCCGGGTTTTTCGGTGTTCAGGTTCCAAATGTTCGGCTTCCGAGACACTCGAAAACCGAGGTTCCACTGTATATGGATATGCATTACAAATTTATATTTGTAAAATCAAATAAAAACGATTTCAAAAAACCAAAAACAAAGTGTGTCCAGGGGTATATGTAACAGACTGGAGGTTTGTTTGTTTGTTGTATATTGCATTTATATCCCACCTTTTCCTTCAAGGTGGCCTGCACATTGTTCTCCCCTTGCTCATTTAGCTGCCACAACTACCTTGCAAGGTAGGGTAGGCTGAGAGGCAGTGGCTGGCTCCCCAAGGTCCCATGGCTGCGTGGAGATTCGAACCCTGGTCTCCCACATCCTGGTCTGACACTAACCATTGTACCGCACTGGCTCTCACCTCTCTGCCTGCCAAGGGTCACCAGGGCAATGTGCCTGGAGCCTCCTAGTTGGCATGCTCAAGGCGTGCCCCTCTGGGATGCGAGGAAGAGGGCAAGAAAGGTGGCGTTAACCTTCACCCTCTTCCAGCCCACTGGTTCTCTGGGTCCTGCCCCAGCTACAGTTTGAATAGGTCAGTGGTTCTCAAAGCAGGTTGTATTTCCCTCTTGGGGGGCAGCAGGATTACCTAGGCGGCGTGATAAGGGTCAAGTGGACATCAGGGGGGCACTGACAGGGGTAAATGACTATCAGACTTTAAAAAGCTGGTATCTCTGGATCAAGTTCATCAATTTGGGCAAATTAATTTAACTAGTTTTCCTTTGGCACTGCAGATGGTGACAGCAGTCACGAAATTAAAAGACGCCTGCTTCTTGGGAGAAAAGCAATGACAAACCTAGACAGCATCTTAAAAAGCAGAGACATCACCTTGCCAACAAGTTAAAGCTCTGGTTTTCCCAACAGTGATGTATGGAAGCGAGAGCTGGACCATCAAGAAGGCTGATCGCCGAAGAATGGATGCTTTTGAATTCTGGTGCTGGAGGAGACTCTTGAGAGTCCCGTGGACTGCAAGAAGATCAGACCTCTCCATTCTGAAGGAAATCAGCCCTGAGTGCTCACTGGAAGGACAGATCATGAAGCTGAGGCTCCAAGACTTTGGCCACCTCCTGAGAAGAGAAGACTCCCTGGAAAAGACCCTGATGTTGGGAAAGATGGAGGGCACAAGGAGAAGGGGACGACAGAGGACGAGATGGTTGGATAGTGTTCTCAAAGCTACCAGCATAAGTTTGACCAAAGTGCGGGAGGCAGTGGAAGATAGGAGTGACTGGCATACTCTGGTCCAGGGGGTCACGAAGAGTCGGACACGACTAAACAACAACAAGTTTTCCTTTTATTTTGAATAGACGTGGATTTCATTGTTGGCTGTTTTGCGTTTTATTATGTTATTATCTTCCTTAGCGGAGCGTGCAAAGTGCTAGGATGCTTTTTATAGGACCGAGTCAGGGGCACTGGGAACGACTTTATGGAACCAATGGAACGGTGGTCTAATGAAAACCTTTGGGGACCACTGCAATAGGTGAAGGGTTTGGTTTCAGACAGCTCCTCCCCGCACGATGCCCCCAACCTCAGACCAAAAAGGGTCTTGGAGCAACCTGGGAAGTAATGACCTCTGACCCCAGAGGTACTTGGTCTGGCTATGCGTCTGACGGCACTTCACGGCAACTCTTGGTGTGACCTTGCAAGGAGATAATGTCTGCCCACACACAGACTGAAACAACGGCTGGATTTTGGGGTTGCCGTCACTAATGCTATTATCTCTGGCAATCCCGTGTTGACTCTGCACACAGACAATGCACCCTTGTTCCATGTTCCAAGTCACAAGGTTTTCCATCATTTCCCAGCTCCTGTCCCCTTCCTAACCCACATTCCTGCATTAGCCAGGGGCTAATATTTACAAGGTGATCAGGCTTGCTTGGAATCCGCGCTTCCTGGCTTGTAAACCCCGATGCCTTATGTCTTGTGTTTAATCTCTGGTGCGAGAAACAATGTCACAAGACGCATGGGGCGCGACCTGAGACATCCTGCATCACGTTATACGTGGGGCCACCTCTTAAGACAGTTTGGAAACTCCAGCTGGGGCAGAATTTGGCAGCTGGGTTGCTCACCGGGGCAAGACGGTCTTGCACGGGCTACCAATTAGTTTCTGGGCCCAATTCAAAGTGCTGGTTTTGATCTATAAACCCTTAAACGGCTCAGGACCGCAATACTTCAAGGACTGCCTTTTTCCGTATAAACCTACCCAGACCCTGAAATCATCTCCTGAGGCCCTCCTTTGTGTGTTTTCTCCACGTGGGGTTCAGAGGGTTCTGAGCATGTCCATGGTGCCAGAAATCGCAGCTGCGCATGTGCAGATACCAGAAATCGCGTCTGCGCATGTCCAGATGTCGAAAATCGCTTCTGCGCAGGCACGATTTTCAGCGTCTGGGCATGCACAGAAGCGATTTCCGGCACCACAGACATGTGCAGATGCAATTTCTGGCATCGCGCTGCGCCAGTCCGGCCCACGGGTGATCTCCATCAAATCACGTAGCATGTCCATGGCTACAGCCTGCACCTAAAAAATCACGCACCCACTGTTTTCTGGGGCCGCAATGGCTCAAAAACGTGGTTACAAAGCACGGATCCACGTGGATCCTCAGGATTTTTGCATTGGGTCACCCCAAATTCTCCATCAGATCACATGTCTGTGGCCACAACATGAACCACAAAAATCATACATCCACTGTTTCGTTCAGAATATTTTTTTCCTTGATTTCCTCCTCTAAAAACTATGTGCGTGTTATGGTCAGGTGCGTCTTATGGGGCAAAAAATACGGCAATTGCCCCTTGTTTTGAATCTGAGTGTGCTACAGTATTCCTTAGCAGGCCATGCAAACTGCTCTTCCGAATAATGTTTTTTTATCGGGCAGGATAGCAGGCAATTGCGGGGGGGGGGGGGGACAAGTTCATGGAACCAAGCAGGTGTGGGGGCCCAAAAAAAGTTTGGGAGCCACTGGGCCACAACCTCCATCGTCCTAAATGACCTTGACCGACCCCAATGAGAGCTGGGAGACCCAAGGACATCTTATGGGTCACAGGTTGCTCCCTGCCCGTAATCTCACAGCTCCGCAGGCTGAGGGGCACCCCATCAGCCTCGGTGCTTTGGGTGCTGGCTCTACTTGTTGCAGCGGTGCGTGCAGCCCGATGGTGGGGTCAGGGGCGACAGAACTGGCTCCCGGCCGCAGTCCTCACCTCTCCCAGCCCCAGAAACATGTTGTTTAACTTATTGCTTCCGTTAGCTGCCTCCGCTGTGTATTTATATAGCAGCCTCCCACCGCCCTGGGCGGAACGGCTGCCAGGACTCAAGATCTTCCCCGCATGGGATGGCAGACGCACGGATACAGACACACAAGCTTGACCCCTGCCGGTCAGGGTGGGATGGAAACCCTCATAGAAACCCCCATTTTGCAACAGCGGAGAGGGTTGCCAGGTCGTTTCAGGGCCCAATTCGAGGTGCTCACGTTGGGGACCCAGGCTCTGAGGACCTGAAAACCCACCTCCTTCCCTGCAGACCCTCTCAGGCAGGGCCGACCCACCCATGAGGCGAGGCGAGGCAAAGCGATGGCCTCAGGCGGCAGGATGCAGAGGGGCGGCCAGGAATGCATTGCCTACTGCAGTCTGCCCCTAGGAGGCCAGTTTTTTTGCCTCTTTGGCAGCCCCCCATGTCACCTCTACAGCAACCCCTTGGGGGAAAAGAGGGGCTGCTGCCATAGGCATAACTGGGGGGGGCAGAGGGGCAGCTGCCCCCCCAATTGAGTAAATAAACAAAAATCCTTAACTAAATGACCAATTGCGTCTCAGATAAGTCGGTTCTGCTGCCCGAACATAAAGCCTGCCCCCCCAAAATAAATCCTGCGTAAAGCCTAGGATTTGCCGATCAGAAGGTCGGCGGTTCGAATCCCTGCGACGGGGTGAGCTCCTCATTGATCTGCCCCAGCTCCTGCCAACCTAGCAGTTCGAAAGCACATCAAAGTGCAAGTAGATAAATAGGTACCACTCTGGCGGGAAGGTAAATGGTGTTTCCGTGCGCTGCTCTGGTTCGCCAGAAGCGGCTTAGTCATGCTGGCCACATGACCCGGAAGCTGTATGCCGGCTCCCTCGGCCAGTAAAGCGAGATGAGCGCCGCAACCCCAGAGTCGGTCACAACTGGACCTAATGGTCAGGGGTCCCTTTACCTTTACCTTTTTATGCCCATGGCTGCCGCCCCCAGCTCAGTCAATAGACATGACACCCTTAATCTCACGGCCATGGGTTCCACATTGGGCAAACGATTCCTGCCTCGGGGTCCCTTCCAATTCTACAATTCTACGATTCCTCCTGCCCTTGTTCCCGATGTAGATCTTCACTCACACCATTGTGGGGGCGCACAACATTTCGTGGTCTCCCTTGGGCCAGCCTTGCTCTCGGGTGCTGAGCTGGCCAGAGTTGGCCCTCTTGGCGGTTCCTCTACCCTCAGAGGCTTGCGGGGTGGCCCAGCGGGAGACAGTTTTCTCTAGGGCACAGAGGAGCCCTGGCACCTTCATTGCACACCTGACATTGAACACCTGTTCACCCAGGCCTTTATTATCCAAGGTCATGGGTAGGCAACCTAAGGCCCGGGGGCTGGATCTGGCCCAATCGCCTTCTCAATCCAGCCCGTGGAGAGTCCGGGAATCAGCATGTTTTTACATGAGTAGAATGTGTCCTTTTATTTAAAATGCATCTCTGGGTTATTTGTGGGGCATAGGAATTCATTCATTTCCACCCCAAAAAATATAGTTCACCCCCCCCAAGGTCTAAGGGACAGTGGACCGGCCCCTGCTGAAAAAGTTTGCTGACCCCTGCCCAAGGTGTATGTTTTTACGAGCCTTTTGTGACTGTAAAGGTAAAGAGCGACGACTCTGGGGTTGTGCGCTCATCTCGCTCTACAGGTCGAGGGAGCAGGCGTTTGTCCGCAGACAGCTTCTGGGTCATGTGGCCAGCATGACTAAGCTGCTTCTGGCGAAACCAGAGCAGCGCACGGAAATGCCGTTTACCTTCCTGCCAGAGCGGTACCTATTTACCTACTTGCACTTTGACGTGCTTTCGAACTGCTAGGTTGGCAGGAGCAGGGACTGAGCAACGGGAGCTTACCCCGTTGCGGGGATTCGAACCGCCGACCTTCTGATCGGCAAGTCCTAGGCTCTGTAGTTTAGACCCCAGCGCCACTTGTTTTAAAACGTTTTCAGTACTGTGGTTAAATTTGTTGAAGAACTAACAAATAAATACGGTAATATGAATTGCCACGTCTGGTTGCATTCAAGAGTCAGTGTGGTGCAGCGGTTCCTTATGGTGTCAGGCTGGGACCAGGAAGACCTGGGTTCGAATTCCCCACTTCGCCATGAGGCTCGTGGGGCAGGCAGTCTAGCCTACTTCTCAGCCTAGCCTCCCTCACAAGGTTGTTGTGGGGATGGGGTGAATAAGGAGAGAACCATGTGTGCCACCTTCAGCTGACTGGAGGAAAAGTTGGGATATAAAGGCAAATTAAAGGTAAAGGTACCCCTGCCCGTACGGGCCAGTCGTGTCCGACTCTATGGTTGCGCGCTCATCTCGCTCAAGAGGCCGGGAGCCAGCGCTGTCCGAAGACACTTCCGGGTCACGTGGAAAGCGTGACGAAGCTGCAGCTGGCGAGCCAGCACCAGCGCCGCACACAGAAACGCCGTTTACCTTCCCGCTATAAAGCGGTACCTATTTATCTACTTGGGACGCGGGTGGCGCTGTGGGTTAAAGCCTCAGTGCCTAGGACTTGCTGATCAAAAGGTCGGCAGTTTGAATCCCCGCGGCGGGGTGCGCTCCCGTCGCTCGGTCCCAGCACCTGCCAACCTAGCAGTTTGAAAGCACCCCTGGGTGCAAGTAGGTAAATAGGAACCGCTTACTAGCAGGAAGGTAAACGGCGTTCCGTGTGCTGCGCTGGCTCGCCAGAGCAGCGATGTCACGCTGGCCACGTGACTCGGAAGTGTCTGCGGACAGCGCTGGCTCCCGGCCTCTAGAGTGAGATGAGCGCACAACCCTAGAGTCTGTCAAGACTGGCCCGTACGGGCAGGGGTACCTTTACCTTTTTACCTTATTTATCTACTTGCACTTAGGGGTGCTTTCAAACTGCTAGGTGGGCAGGAGCTGGGACCGAACGATGGGAGCTCACCCCGCCGCGGGGGTTCGAATCGCCGACCTTACGATCAGCAAGTCCTAGGCACTGAGGTTTTACCCACAGCGCCACCCGCATCCCTATAAAGGCAAATTAATGACTGGTTTTATAGGTGTTTTTTATGGGTGTTTTGCGGGTCACATTGGGCTAAAGATTTCTGCGTTGCAGGGGTAGGACTAGATGACCCTCGTGGTCCCTTCCAACTCAACAATGCTATGATTCTGTGCTGGAACAGCGGAAGGCAGCCAGGCAGACAAGCGAGCAAGCAGAGGCGTGGGACACAGTTTTATAAGGAGAGGGGGGTTTGTTTTCAGTCTTGCAATCTAGGGTGATGGAGGCTATCTTTGGCAAGCGGCTGAAATTTTGGGAGAGGAAGGAAGGCTCTCTGCAGGCTTGTGGAGCAAAGTTGAATTGGTTCTGCATATTCATTTCCCTCCTTTTGCCCTGCTCTCTCCCAAGCGCTCTTAGAGTCTTTTTCCTTCCCTCTGGGCACATTCCCCAGCAAGGTCAATGGGCTGCATTTCTACCCCTGCAATCAGGAGGGTCAATCAAGCTGGAACAATGAGCCAGGGAAAACAAAAAGCAAAAAAAAAGAAAGACCCCTTCATTAGCTTCTCCCCAGCCATAACCTGAGTAAACAGGCTGGCCCTGGAGCGAAAAGGGAAAAAAATAAAACCATCAGGTCTTGTTTCCAGTCCCCTTGGGAAGGACTTTGCAGACAGCCAAAGATCAGCTGCCAAGGCACAACTTTCAACAGCCCAACATTAAAGTCTTTTCGATGAGAAACGGCCGGGTCGATTCTGTGAAGTTCTGGGCCAAGGCTGATCCCGTCAGAACATAGGAAGCTGGCTTACACAGTGTCCCGTCTTTGCGCAGTGTCCAGCACTGCACTGACCACACCAGCTCTCTCCAGAACAGTGTACATTGTGAAGGGGATACGCCAGCTGTTTTCAAATAGGCGAAAGGCTGTCACATGGAAGAAGGAGCAAGCTCCTTTTCCGCTGCTCCAGAGGGGATGGCCCAACGAGAAAGGAGATTCCAACTAAACATTAGGAGGCTTCGAAAAATGCAGAAGAGCTAGGGGCGAACCAGTGGAGGAAAAAACTGAATAAGCCGAGGCGTGCTCGAAAACAGAAGCATTCTGGGTTGTCGACGTTCGAAAGCCGAAATGTTCGGCAACCGAAGTTCCACTGTGTATAGAAGCAAGAACAACACAACTAATCCAGAATGCGCCAGCTAGACTGGGGACTTTGGGTGCCTGCCGAGACCACATAACACCAGTCTTGAAAGGCCTACGTTGGCTCCCAGTATGTTTCCGAGCACAATTCAAAGTGTTGTTTAAAGCCCTAAATGGCCTCGGTCCAGTATACCTGAAGGAGCGTATCAGCCCCCATCGTTCAGCCCGGACGCTGAGGTCCAGCGCTGAGGGCCTTCTGGCGGTTCCCTCCCTGCGAGAAGCCAAGCTACAGGGAACCAGGCAAAGGGACTTCTCGGTGGTGGCGCCCGCCCTGTGGAACACCCTCCCACCAGATGTCAAAGAGATAAACAACTACAGTGGTACCTCGGGTTATAAACGCTTCAGGTTACATACGCTTCAGATTACAGACTCCAGTAACCAGAAAAAGTACCTCGGGTTAAGAACTTTGCTTCAGGATGAGAACAGAAATTGTGCTCCGGCAGCACAGCGGCAGCAGGAGGCCCCATTAGCTAAAGTGGTGCTTCAGGTTAAGAACAGTTTCAGGTTAAGAACGGACCTCCGGAACGAATTAAGTACTTAACCCGAGGTACCACTGTACCTGACATTTAGAGGACATCTGAAGGCAGCCCTGTTCAGGGAGGTTTTTAATGTGTGAAATGTAATTTTAATTTTTGTTGCAAGCCACCCAGAATGGCTGGAGAAACCCAGCCAGATGGGCGGGGTACAAATAATAAATTATTATTATTATTATTATTATTATTATTATTATTATTAACAACAACTCCAACATGAAGGCAGGGGAACTCTCCTGCTGAAGAAGGCAAAAATGACAGACTCACCAGAAAGCGGCTCCTTGACCTTGACCTCAGCCTCCTCTGTGACAGGGGCCGGATCCTGTGCCTCGGTCTGGTTGAACTTCTCCACCAGCGAAGCCCTGCGCACTTTCCCTCCCAGCCCGATCTTGAGGAAGGACATGCGCTTGTCTCCGCCACCGCCGTTCTCCTTCTCCGAGAGGCCGCAGTCGAGAGCGTAGAGGCTCTCCTTGCGGCGCCCGTTCAGGAGCTGGAGCAGGCTGAAGTCTTCGGAGCTGCGCCGCGTCTTCCTCTTCTCTGGCGTCCCCTGGTTGCCCTCCGTCAAGGGGATCATCATGCGGCCCAAAAAGGACCTCCTGTCCGAGCCCTTCTCCACGGGGGACTTCTTCTCGCCGCTCTTCTTCCCTTTGCCCATGCGGAAGGGGGACAGCCCCACCAGCTTCTCCAGCGTCGCCCGCCGCCTGTAGCGTCCCTCGGGGCTGCCGTTGAAAAGGCCCCGCTCGAAGGTGCCACCGCCGCCGTCCGGGGAAGGGTTCCTGCTCTCGGGGGAGTCGCTGCCCAGGAAAGAGTCTCTCTCGTTCTCCTCAAGGTCTTCCTCAAAAGGGTTGGTTCCCTGGTGGCATTCCTTCTCAAGGATCAGCGAGCCGCCGCCACCGCTGGTGTCGCCGTTGGCCATCTTGAGCTTGCAGGGGTTCTTAAGGACCGGCATGGCACCCAGCGCACCGCAGGACCTGGAAGGGAAGGTGGGGAAATGGTCCAGTGGTAGCAATGGGAGAGGCTGAGGAGGTTTCGGGGAGACATGCTGAACATTTTAATGTGTAATGTTTCCTTCTGTTTTTATATATGTTGGAAGCCGCCCAGGGGAGCTGGGGCAACCCATTCAACAACAACAGCAGCAGCAGCAACAGCAACAACAATAACAACAATAATAAAAATGCTTTGGGAGGTTTTCTTGTTTTCCACAGGTATAAATTTTATTTATACCCCGCCCTCCCCAGCTAAGACCGGGCTCAGGGCAGCTAACAGCAGATATAAAAACAACTGATTGAAATACAGTGGTACTTCAGGTTACAGACGCTTCAGGTCACAGACTCCGCTAACCCAGAAATAGTGCTTCAGGTTAAGAACTTTGCTTCAGGATGAGAACAGAAATCGTGCTCTGGCGGCGCGGCGGCAGCGGGAGGCCCCATTAGCTAAAGTGGTGCTTCAGGTTAAGAACAGTTTCAGGTTAAGAACGGACCTCCGGAACGAATTAAGTACTTAACCTGAGGTACCACTGTACAACTTAAAAAACAAGATTAAAATACAACCTTAAAACATTAAAATGCAACCTCGTTTCAGTGGAAACTCAAATCAAAAACTTTTGGGGGGATGAAAACGTCAAGTCTCCACCAAGGCTAATATTTTAATGTGTAATGTTTCCTTCTGTTTTTATATATGTTGGAAGCTGGGGCAACCCATTCAGATGGGTGGGGTATAATAAAAACAACAGCAATAACAACAATAACAATAATAATAATGCTTTGGGGAGCTTTGCTTGTTTTTCACAGGGGCCAGGCCTCAGCATATGCCTCTGAAATCCTAACCAAAACCAAATTCCAACCCCCCTTCCCCAAATCTTATTATTACCGTATTTTTCGCCCTATAGGACGCACTTTTTCTCTTCCAAAAATGAAGGGGAAATCTGGGTGCGTCCTATGGGGCAAATGCAGCCTTTCGCTGAAGCTTGGAGAGCGAGAGGGGTCAGTGCGCACCGACCCCTCTCGCTCTCCAGGCTTCAGGAAGACATCCGTAGCCTAGGCAGCCCTGCGGGAGGTCCCGCAGGGATGTCTAGGCTGCGGATAGCAGCCTGCCGCCTGGCGGGCAGGGCACCCTGAAGCAGAGCGCCCCGCGCGCCGGACAGGTATCCGCAGCATGGGGAGCCCTGCAGGAGTTCCCCGCAGGGCTCCCCACACTGTGGATAGCAGCCTGCCGCCCGGCGGGCGGGTCACCCTGAAGCAGAGCGCCCCTCTCGCCAGGCAGACATCGGCCAGCCCCACAAGCTCGGGGGACAGCAGGGAGGCGCAGCACCGCCATCCCGCTGTTCCTCGACCTGGTTCGGTTTCCCCGACCTGCTTTTGGGGGGGAAATAAAGGGGGGGGAAATTCCTTTATTTCCCCCCAAAAAAACTAGGTGCGTCCTATGGGACGGAGCATCCTATGGGACGAAAAATACAGTATTCTTCGTTTATTAATAAACCATGGATAAGGAGCATAAAGGAATGCTGTCACAGCAGGTTGAAATCAGCATAAGGTTGGATATTATCATGGGACTTGTTTTTAATACATTGGTACTTCAGGTTACAGACGCTTCAGGTTACAGACGCTTCAGGTTACAGATTCCGCTAACCTAGAAATAGTACCTCGGGTTAAGAACTTTGCTTCAGGATGAGAACAGAAATCGTGCTCTGGCGGTGCGGCGGCAGCAGGAGGCCCCATTAGCTAAAGTGGTGCTTCAGGTTAAGAACAGTTTCAGGTTAAGTACGGACCTCCAGAACGAATTAAGTACTTAACCCAAGGTACCACTGTATAGCATAACCATGTGTGTTTATTGCAATCGTGCTGAAATGCGAGCTTAGGAGAAGAACAGGAAGGGAAGCAAAGCACAGAGGCAGGTGTACATGAAAGTTTTAGAAGCTCGCTAGGCCGTGATATTTAAGAAAAGGTGAAAACAGAAAAATGTCTTCAGCTCAGGTCTGCCTTTGCCGTTGAGCCGACAGTCAGCTCATAGCAACAAATGGCTTGCAGATCTAACCTAGGTCTGATTTATTGCACTGTTATGGATTTGGGGGTGCCCTGACTCTCCCTAGATTCCTGGCTGTTGGGGTTTAATCAGTGTTTAGAGAATTAAGGTGCGCTGACAGGAGTTGTAAAAGTACAGAGTACACTGGTTTTCCTGTTCAGGAGATCAGTTGATAGAGGTGCCATTAAGAAACAAAGAGACCAGAGGACAGGTCCATTAAGAGTGATTAACAAGGCAATTACTGTCCTTCATCCGCCCTGAGTAATGGGCAGAGATAAAAAAAAAAAGTTGGGAGGGAGAGGGCGCCAGGGTTATGGGGAGCCTGATGTCAGCACAGGAAAAAGTGTCCTTTTGCCGGAGGTTTTTGGAAACAGCAAAAAGGATGTGGGGGCAGCAGAACTCCATGGAGGCTGGCTGGGAGCGTCTGAAGGAGGGTCTCCACCCCCATTGTTCTCCCCGAACACTGAGGTCCAACGCCGAGGGCCTTCTGGTGGTTCCCTCCCTGCGAGAAGCCAAGTTACAGGGAACCAGGCAGAGGGCCTTCTCGGTGGTGGCACCCGCCCTGTGGAATGCCCTCCCACCAGATGTCAAGGCAATAAACAACTATTTTTCTTTTAAAAGACAACTGAAGGCAGCCCTGTTTAGGGAAGCTTTTAATGTTTAATAGGTTACTGTATTTTATTGTTTTGTTGGTAGCCACCCAGAGTGACTGGGGAAACCCAGCCAGATGGGCGTGGTATAAATAATAAATTATTATTATTATTATTTTACGGGAGAGATTGGGGAGCGTGGCTGCCTTCTGCTCTGGACCCCAGGTTTGATGAAGCTCTAGGAGAAGCAACTAGAGACACTCTTTGAGGTGTAATGTTCTGCACTCCTCCATCAAAACTCAGGTGAATATATGGGTAAAGAAAACGTGGTGCTGTGGTCTAAACCACAGAGCCTAGGGCTTGCTGATCAAAAGGTCGGCGGTTCGAATCCCCGCGATGGGTGAGCTCCTGTTGCTCAGTCCCTGCTCCTGCCAAGCTAGCAGTTTGAAAGCACGTCAAAGTGCAAGTAGATAAATAGGTACTGCTCTGGTGGGAAGGTAAACGGCATTTCCGTGTGCTGCTCTGGTTCGCCAGAAGCGGCTTAGTCATGCCGGCCACATGACCCGGAAGCTGTACGCCGGCTCCCTCGGCCAGTAAAGTGAGATGAGCGCCGCAACCCCAGAGTCGGCCATGACTGGACCTAACGGTCAGGGGTCCCTTTACCTTTATTGCATTTATATATACATAATCTTACTTGTATGCCACCTTTCCACTGTTCGAACTATGCTCTGGGCGGCTTATGGCATGAAAAAAGCACATAACTACAACAGAAGTTGTCATAAACCATGTCAGAAAATAGACAACCGAATTAAACCACTTACATCCCACCATTTTACTCCAAGGAGCACAGGGTGGTCTGCATAGTTCTGTTAGCCCCCAAATGGAAAGTGAGTGAGGTCCCACATAGAGAGGTTTGGCAACTTTAAGATGTTACAATATGTAGAACTTGCAGGCTTAACACACAGAAAAAGAGAGCAAGAACAACGTACAGTATATTTAAAGAAGAGTGGAGAATAATTATTGAATACGTGGAAAATAATTGGACACAGCTCAAAATGCTGGCAGCATAAAGATAAATTAAACAGAGTAAACAACATTGGATGTAAAAGGGGGAAATTGATTTGAATGGTTATAGCAAAATGTGCAGGAATGTATGATATGTGATATGAACCGCGGAAGGAGAAGAAGGGAAGTCGTTAAAGTTTGTAAAACGTTTATTTTGAAATGGGAAAAACCCTGAAAACTCAATTTAAAAAGTTTTTTAAAAAATAAATAGTAACACACCTGGGGCACTAGGAAAGGCAGCCCCACAGAGAGAGCGCAAGGGGTCCAAGCCCACTGCTTGACCCTTGCACGCCTCTGCAGAGACTTGGCCGGGACCAGGGACCCACAGTGTGGGAGCAGGAAGTTTGTGAAGAGGGGATCTTCCACACTGGGAATCCCCAGAGCTGGGCTGACCCAAAGTCAGTGTACAGGAAGCCCTACCTGAGTTTCCATGTTTGCAGAAGGGGCTTTTTCTCTCCTGCTTTTTCACGCCAGCCAGATGACAGCTGAACCTCTCTCTGTGTGGAAGTATCTCAAATGACCAGCTGATAGCAGATTTACCTGCCTGGTCTATGGACCCTCCCCTTGCTGCCATGTGACCTGCCTTCTCTTAAAACTGCCCTCATTCCAAGAAGGCAGAAGGGAGGGGACCCTGCAAGAGAGATCCACGAGACCTTTTCTTCTTTCTTTCTTTCTTTCTTTCTTTCTTTCTTTTCAAAATCCTCTTTCTGACTCTTCTTTGTCCACATTGTGGCTGCAACACATACAGAGGCTACAATCCAGTTTCAGAAATCTCTCTCCTCCCATTTATCCCCACGTAAATGCTCCCGTTTGCGGACACCTGCTTTGGATGCAGAAGGTATTGGGTTCAGGTGCTGACAGCATCTCCGGTTAGGGCTGGGTGTGCCCCCTGGACAGCTGCTGCCAGTCAGTGTAGACATTAATGAACTAGGTGGGCCAGTTGCCTGAAGCTAAGGCAGTTTCTTGTGTCCGTACACTGGTACCTCGGGTTACATATGCTTCAGGTTACAGATTCCACGAACCCAGAAATAGTGCTTCAGGTTAAGAAATGCTTCAGGATGAGAACAGAAATCGTGCTCCGGCAGCGCGGCAGCAGCAGGAGGCCCCATTAGCTAAAATGGTGCTTCAGGTTAAGAACAGTTTCAGGTTAAGAATGGACCTCCAAAACGAATTAAGTACTTAACCTGAGGTGCCACTGTATAGTTAAAGCTATGGTTTTCCCAGTACAGTGGTACCTCGGGTTAAGTACTTAATTTGTTTGGGAGGTCAATTCTTAACCTGAAACTGTTCTTAACCTGAAACACCACTTTAGCTAATGGGGCCTCCTCCTGCTGCTGTGCCGCCAGAGCACAATTTCTATTCTCATCCTGAAGCAAAGTTCTTAACCCGAGGTACTATTTCTGGGTTAGCGGAGTCTGTAACCTGAAGCGTATGTAACCTGAAGCATATGTAACCCAAGGTACCACTGTAGTGATGTATGGAAGTGAGAGCTGGACCATAAAGAAGGCTGATCGCCGAAGAATAGATGCTTTTGAATTCTGGTGCTGGAGGAGACACCTGAGAGTCCCATGGACTGCAAGAAGATCAAACCTCTCCATTCTGAAGGAAACCAGCCATGAGTGCTCACTGGAAGGACAGATCCTGAAGCTGAGGCTCCAAGACTTTGGCCACCTCATGAGAAGAGAAGACTCCCTGGAAAAGACCCTGATGTTGGGAAAGATGGAGGGCACAAGGAGAAGGGGAGGACAGAGGACGAGATGGTGGGACAGTGTTCTCGAAGCTACAAACATGAGTCTGACCAAACTGTGGGAGGCAGTGGAAGACAGGAGGGCCTGGCGTGCTCTTGTCCAGGGGGTCACAAAGAGTCAGACACGACTAAACGACTAAACAACAACAACAAAGGCAGTTTCTTGCGTTCCTGTGCAGCCAGTACTGTACGTGTTTCTGGCATTGCGCCCGCTTGAATGCCAGGGGTCTTAATGAGAATCCCTGCTGTTTCTTCCCACTCAGGGTGTGCTCTGACGGGTGGTATGGATCTGACCTTGGGGTGGGGGTGGGGGGGCTGGAAATCAGGCCGTTCTTCCAGAGCGGCCGGCCATTTGGGAGACCCTGAGTCATAATTTCGCAGAAGTTCTGGGAGACGAGGAAATTACACAGCAGGATGGAGAGGCAGGAAACTGGTTTTTTCTCAAAGAGAAAATATACGCACAGCAGAGAGTCGCGCTCCTTGTAATGTATAAGCGGCTCAAGGATGTGAAAAGAGCCTGCTGGATCAGGCCCAAGGGGGCCCATCCAGTCCAGCACCCCTGTTCTCACAGTGGCTGACCAGCTGCCTCTTGTGGGAAACCAGCAACCAGGATCCGGGCACAAGAGAAACAGTCTCTCCTAATGGGTTCCAGCAACTAGGATTCAGAAGCTTTTACTGCCTCTGACCAAAGAGCAAAGTATGTTTCGGAGCACAATTCAAAGTGTTGGTGCTGACCTTTCAAGCCCTAAACGGCCTCGGTCCAGTATACCTGAAGGAGCATCTCCACCCCCATCGTTCAGCCCAGACACTGAGGTCCAGCTCCGAGGGCCTTCTGGCGGTTCCCTCATTCTGAGAAGTGAGAAGTGAGGTTATAGGGAACCGGACAGAGGGCCTTCTCGGTGGTGGCGCCCACCCTGTGGAACGCCCTCCCTTGAGATGTGAAGGAAATAAGCAGCTATCCTATCTTTAAAAGACATCTGAAGGCAGCCCTGTTTCGGGAGGTTTTTAATATTTAATGCTGTATTGTTTTTAACACTTGATTGGGAGCCGCCCAGAGTGGCTGGGGAAACTCAGCCAGTTGGGCGGGGTATAAATAATAAATTATTATTATTATTATCATTATCATTATCATCATTATCATTATCATCATGGCTAGTAGCCATTGAGAGCCCTCTCCTCCTCCATGAATTGGACCAATCCTGTTAGAAAGCCACCCGAGAAATAGGAACAATAATACATATGTGGTGGAGGTGTGAGGAAATTAAGAAATTTTGGATAGTAATAGCATGAAGAATGAAAGAAGACGTTGAAAATATAAATAACAAGGAAACCAGATACATATCTCCTCGGACTGATAGATGAAGAGATACCACAGGGAAAGAAAAGAATTTTCCTGTGTGCAAGTACAGCTGCTAGAATAGTGATTGCTGCTAGGTGGAAGTCACAAACTATACCCACAAAGGAGGAATGGATTTGTAAACTAAATGAATCTTTAATTTTGGCAAAATTAACTGCTATAATAAGAAATCAGTCGAATCAAAAATGAAAAAAGGAGTGAAAATGTTTTGATGAATTTTGCTCAGAAAAAGGTATGCTAACATGCCTAGATTAAAAGTACTGGAGGGAAGAAAAATTAGTAAGGAAAGATAATGAGAATAGATAGATGATTTGAGAAGACTGTGGAATGCAAAGATTATTGTAAATTGTGTAATGTGGAGGAAATTGAGTGGGGGCAGAGGGAAGTGGGAGGAGGGAGAAAAGAATAATATGGTGGATTGAGGAAATATAAATGTAAGTGTATGGGGAGATGGGGAGGAAATGGTATTGGCTTTGGTACATTTGTATTGTAATGTAATATGTGAAAACCAATAATAAATAAATAAATAAACAAACAAACGAAGAAAAGAAGAAGACAACCACCCAAGTTGGCCTCCTGTGGCAGGGAGTTCCACAGTTTAACATGCACTGCATAAAGAAGTGCTTCCTTTTATGTGTCCTGAAACTTCCAACATCCTGCGTCGCTGCATACCCACACGTTCTGGTGTTAAGAGAGAGAAGAAGAGCAACTTTTCCCCATGCACTTTCTCCGTGACAGGCATAATTTTGTAGACTTCTAGCATGTCGCCTCTTTACTTTTCTCTAAACTAAAAAGTCCCAAACTCCGCAAGCTTTCTTCGTAGGGGAGCAGCTGTAGCTTCTAAAGAGCTACACAGGAGGCCTTGTTGCATTCTTAGAAGCCGGGGTTCCCCGACCCAGTGCCCTCCCAGGCATCATGGTTTACATTTCCTATCAGCCCCAACCAGCCCTGCCACACTGCCACCTGCCCCAGAGTCATATGACTGGTTTCACAGGCGCTGAGTTGCAGTCTTCACTATCAGCGCCAGCCAGCAAAGCCACACGACCAGCGTCACGCGACTTGGGCTGGTAGGAGCTGTGGTGTAGCTTCCTTTTTTTCTTTTTGCACTTCAGCAAAAAGATAACCCCAAGAACACTGGGGCACCTTAATGGAGAGCTGCTTTAAATCTGCCACAGCAAAATTGTTGGCCCCTAAAATGCCCAAAGCCTCTCTTGTTGTTTTTTCTCTCAAGGCTGAGCTCTGGGGAGCACCGGCATAAATTCAGTCCCATTGGCAACCTACCGTATTTTTCGCTCCATAAGACACACTTTTTTCTTCCTAAAAAGTAAGGGGAAATGTCTGTGCGTCTTATGGAGCGGATGCGTGGTCCCTGGAGCCGAATTGCCCAGGGGCGAAAAGCAGGTCGTGCTTTTTTATTTAGAAAGAGGGAAGTAGGTGTTGAAGCAAAGGCGCTAATCGGCAAGCGATTGGGGAAGGAGATAAGGGATGCTAGCGATAAAGGAGGCTGCCTGGGAGGGGGGAGGTAAAGACAGCGCACTTGCAAGGAGAGGAGACAGGAAGATTAAAGTGATGAAGAGAGAAATCAGAAGAAAAGGAGGAGCAAAAAACTGCTCCAGCTAAGGAAAAGACACTAAGGCAAACAAGAGGGAAGGGGGTGTTGAAACAAAGTCGCTGATCAGCTGATCAGCAAGTGATTGGGAGGGAGATAAGGGACTCTAGAGATAAAGGAGGCTGCCTGGGCGGGGGGAGGTAAAAGCACATGGATCCTCGGTATTTTTGCACTGGGTCACCCCAAATTCACCATCAGATCACACAGCTACAGTCTGCACCAAAAAAAAAAACATGCATCCATTGTTTTGTTCAGAATATTTCCCCCCCCCCTTGTTCTCCTCCTCTAAAAACTAGGTGCGTCTTATGGTCTGGTGCGTCTTATGGAGCGAAAAATACGGTGTATGTGGGCATCAACCGTCCTCTTCCTCCTCCTCCTCGAGAGGAGGCACATTCATTGCCAGGAGCTGTACCCAAGAAGCAGGTAGACTGCAGGCTTGCTGAATTTTACTAGGAACCACACCCCCCAAGATCAACCAACAATTAGAATTTAAGGGCAGGGTGCCTCTGAGCATGCTCTGAGCCTGTTTCCATTCCAGAACCAGATATTCCACGCAAACTCCTGGCTCCAACTCAGGTGGGCATAAGCAGTTTTGTTGCTGATGTTACAAAACAGTCAAGAGTCAGAAATCCCTCCCGAGCTATAGCAAACCATTCAGCGCAAATCACTCTGCACACCTGCAATCGGCACAGAAATTCGGAATGGGCAATGTACCTTATATGGTGGGAAGTTTACCTGGGACATTCGGCATGGCAAACAGATGTAAAGTTCTGCCAATGGGCTGCAGCCCTTCTCCCCATTTAAAGGTGAACATACCCCCC